ATAATAAAATAAAAGTTAAAAAAAAAAAAAAATTTCTTGAGCCAGGGTCTAAGTTGCACAGCTGGCCTCAAGCTTGAGATTTTCCTGCCTCATCCTCCCAAGTATCAGGGACTACAGGTGTGTACCAGCATGCCCCATGCACTTCTTTTAGCAGCAACATCTCCCTTCCTTCCTTCCAGGGTTCCCGACTGCGGAGATGGAGCCTGGGCCTCTGCACTAAGCTCCACATGTACCCAGCCCTTTTAAAAAATTTTTCTGAAAAAAAAAATTTTTTTTGAGACAGGGTCTTGCTAGTTTCCCAGACTGGACTTGAATTTGTGATCCTCCTGCTTCAGCCTCCCACAGTGCTGGTACTGTAGGTACGTGCCACTGTGCCAGGCTCCAAATTTAATTTTTTTTTTTTTTTTTTGGTACCAGAAATTGAACTCAGGTCCTTGTGCTTGTCAGGCAGGCACTGTGCCGCTGAGCTATTTAATTTTTTTATGAAAAAGCAAAACAAAACTTCATTAGCAAAAAGAATACAAGACATAAACCAAAGGATTCTTACAAAGAAGGAACGGATAATAACCCAAAGTATTTTCTCAAAAACTAAGACAAACTAGTAGCATAAATGAAGCAAATTAGCATATATAGTCTCTTTTTTTTAATTTATTTTTTGTCTTTTTGAAGCAGGGTCTCGGCTGGCCTTGTGCTCACTTTGTAGCCCAAGCTGGTCTTGAACTCACAACAATCCTCCTGCCTCAGCCTCCCAAGTGCTGGCATTACAGGCGTGTACCACCACAAAGGAATGTGTTTTAACTCTTGAAACAGTATCATTATGTATTCCAGGTTGGCCTAGAATTTGTAATCCTCCTGCCTCAGCCTCTTACTTGCTGGGATTACAGGTACGTATCACCACACCCAGGAAAATTAATTTTCTTTTTTTTTTTTTCTTTTTGAGGCAGGGTCTCATTATGCAGTTCAGGCTGGCCTTGTGCTCACTTTGTAGCCCAGGCTGGCCTCGAACTTGCAGCAATCCTCCTGCCTCAGCCTCTTACTTGCTGGGATTACAGGTACGTATCACCACACCCAGGAAAATTAATTTTCTTTTTTTTTTTTTCTTTTTGAGGCAGGGTCTCATTATGCAGTTCAGGCTGGCCTTGTGCTCACTTTGTAGCCCAGGCTGGCCTCGAACTTGCAGCAATCCTCCTGCCTCAGCCTCCTTCCCGAGTGCTGGGATTGTAGGCATGCACCACCATGCCCAGCACAAATTTAATTTTTTAAGAGCCCCAAAGTCATGTTCATTTCTGATGCTGGGGTTGCCCCCCTCCAGGAGGCGCTGAGGGAGGGAGCTGGGGCACAGATGGGAAGAGGTCGATCCCTTCCAGGCTAGGAAACAGGGTTCCTCCAGGTTAGAAAGTCACAGGTTTGTTCTCTGTTGCCCAGTCCGGCCCGTGGCATTAGCTCTTAAACCTGACAGGTATGTGTGTGCGCACGATGACTCCTGTATCTTCCTGGCTCAGGGTGCCTTCTTTCGGTGAAAAAGTGTATTGAAAAATCCCGAAGGAAGTTTTCAAACAGCACAGAACATGAAAATTGGCAAGTTCCGTTCTTATTACATAAATCTGGAAATCAGACCCCACCTGCATTTTTTAATGCTTTCCATTACCAATGATAAGGGCTGGGGGTTTAGCTCAGGGGCACAGCACTTGCCTGGCAAGGTTCTGAGTAAGATTCCTAGTACCAGAAAAAAATGCTTCTGATTCATTACCGGTGAGATGGGGTTCTTTGACTCAACCCTCTGCGAAGAGTGTCCTAGAGTCTTTCCAGAAAAACAGGCAGCAGAAAGTCCTCAGCCAGGTGCTCGGTTTCCCCAAAACGTCCCCATCAGAGTCTCCCGTGCTGAGGCCAACCAGGACGCACCTGCTCCTCAGAGGTTAACCTGAGGAGCCCGCCAGGGGGGCAGGGGGCCGGCAGAGACGGCGGCCCCTGGGCTGAGAACTGAGGGCTGCGCGCTTGTCCCTGCTCACTCTGTGTCCCAGCTGTGTGGGGTGAGCAGCTCTGCCCCACACTGGCCTTTCCTCCAAGCTGCTTATGCCTCGGACCCAACCAGATAAACGCTCTGCAAAGCTCTCCTCCTCGCGGTAAGTGGTGGCGCACACCCGCAGTGCAAGCACTCAGACGGGTGAGCAGGAGGGATGCCGTGATTCAAAGCTAGCTTGAGCTACAGTGAGACCCTGCCTCAAAAAAGCAAGAAACGAAAAAATCTCCTCCTTTCAATTGTGGCTGTGGAGCTGGGGAGAGAGAGCTCAGTGGCACAGCGCCTGCCTAGCAAGTACAAGGTCCTGAGTTCAATTCCTGGAACCAGAAACATAAGTACATACATGCATACATACACGCATGAACGAAAGGTGGTTGTGGGGTGTTTTGTTCCAGCAAGACGGGTGAGACAGGAAAGTGACTAACAGAAAAGACACAGTGCTACATGCTTAATCGTAGCTACTCAAGAGGCTGAAGCAGGAGGAGCAGAAGTTCAAGTCAAGGTTGGAGGGGCTGGGGATTTAGCTCAGCAGCACAGCGCCTGCCTGGCAGGCGCAAGGTTGTGAGTTCAACTCCTGGTACGGCAGAGCGGGGGGGAGTCAAGGTTTGGTGTGGTAGCATAGTCCCAGCACTCCAGTGGCTGAGACAGGAGGATCCCTGTGAGTTCAGGACCAGCCTGGGCTATGGAGTTCAAGGCCACCCTAAACTGTATATTAACTCTCTGTCTCAAAAAGACCAAAAAAAAGAAGAAGAAGAAAGAGAAGTTTGAGTCAAGCCTGGGCAACTTCGTAAGACCCATCCCAAAATGAAAAGAGCTGGCTAAAGCAGAAATATCTCCAACTCTAAGCCAGCCTGGGCTCCACTGTGAGTTCAAAGCCGTCCTAGACCACAGGGTGAGACGCTGCCTTGAAACCAACCCAAACAGCTAAGGGTGCAGCTCTGGGGCAAGGGCTGGCTTCAGTCTGCACCACTGAAAAGAAGTTGTTGTTTTTTATTTGTTTTTGTTTTGTTTTGTTTGTTTTTTGTCTTTTTGAGACAGAATCGCCCTATGCAGTCCCGGCTGGCTTTGAGCTCACTCTGTTGCCCATGCTAGTCTCAAACTCAACAATCCTCCTGCCTCAGCTGCCCGAGTGCTGGGATTACAAGTATGCGCCACCACGCCCAGCAAAAACCTTTTTGTTACTTACAGAATTACAAAAATAAAGAACACTTCAAAGATAACCTAGAAGCATAATTTGTCAGCAGTGAAATCATTTGTATGTCTTGTTTGTCTTTTGAGACAGTGTCTTGCTATGTAGCTCAGGGTAGTCTTATACTCACTACACAAACCAGGCCAGCTTTGACCTCTTGGCAATTTTCCTGCCTCAGCCTCTCCACTGCTAGCATTACAGGTGGGAGCCACCTTGCCCAACTAGAGCTTTGGAAAAAAAAAAAAAAGAAAGAAAAACAGTGCCTGGGCCCTAGATTAATGTTAAAGCCCAGATATTATCTACAATGTAGAAAAATCAAGGGAAACTAAAGCTGTGGTTGTGCATGCCTATAATCTCTGCTCTCCAAGAAGCTGAGGCAGGAAGATCAACAGTTCAAGGCCAATCTGGGATATAGAGTGAGACACTCTTTCAAAAAGAAAAGTCGAAGTCAGTTATAAAAGAATTGCTTAATACTACAGCACATGCTAATAGGATCTATTACACAGCGCTTAAAAAGAATGGTGTCTTACATACTTAAATGCAAACATTTCTAAAACATCCTGTTATCTGTAGCCATACGCTGTAGCGCCCACCTGTAATGCCAGCACTAGGGAGGTTGAGGCAGGAGGATCACTGCCAAGTTCGAGACCAGCCTGGGCTACAAAGTGAGCTCAAGGCCAGCCTGAACTTCATAGTGAGACACTGTCTCAAAAAGACTAAGAGGAAAAAAAAAAAAAAAAACACATCCTGTTAAATAAAGCAGGCAAATACTACCAGGCCTAGCAATGTATACCTACAGCTCAAACACCATGGAGGCTGAGACAGGAGGATCTCTGAATCTGGGAACAGCCTGTGTTCATAACAAAACACTGTCTCAAAAAAAAAAACAAAACAAAAAAGCCACATGTGGTGTAAGCCTATAATCCCAGCACTCAGGAGGCTGAGGCAAGAGGATCACTTAAAGTATGAGTTTGAGCCTAGGCAGAACTGCATAGCAAGACCCTGTCTCAAAAGACCAAAAAAAAAGATTAGAAACCAATGTCCTGGAGACATTTCTTCCTGCCCCTATGTGCATTAGAGATTCCCACTTCTCTGTAAACAAAAGAAAAAACAGTTTGAATTGAAGATACTGGGGCTGAAGAGAAGGAACAAGGAGGACTCTTGTATGATTTGACTCTTTTGTGTTTTATTCAGTCTTTATTTTTTTTGGTACTGGGATTTGAACTCAGGGCCTTGCACTTGCCAGGCAGGCACGGTGCCACTGAGCTATATCCCTGTTGCCTTGAACTCACAGTGATCCTCCTGCCTCAGCCTCCCAAGTGCTGGGATTACAGGTGTGCGCCACCACACCTGACAAAAGGGTAAGTAACTTGCTACAATGCCTCACCATTGGCAAATAGCAAAGCCAATTCTATTTTGGGCCGGGCAGACCAGGAATCAAACTTGAGACACTGTGCTTGCCAGGCAGGCACAATTCCACTGAGCTATATTCCCGGCCCTATTAATTTTTTTTTTTTTAATTTCACATCTATACAGTATTTCAGTATAGACGACATCAACAACTAAGACCTATTGAAAGTCCCATTGGGGTTGGGGATTTAGCTCAGCAGCACAGCGCCCGCTTAGCAAGTGCAAGGTTGTGAGTTCGATTCTCAGTACCAGAAAAAAAAAAAAAGAAAGAAAGAAAGTCCCATGAATGACTTGAGAGTACTGAAATTTCCCCAAACTATTCCTGACATACGCGCACGATTTTACAATAAAACTTTACATTTAAAAGTCAGCTGAGGGGCTGGGGATTTAGCTGAGCGGCACAGCGCCTGCCTGGCAAGTGCAAGATCATGAGTTTGATTCCCAGTACAGGGAAAAAAAACAAAACAAAACAAAACAAACAAACAAAAAAGTCAGCTGGGCCGGGCGTGGTGGTGCACCCCTGTAATCCCAGCATGTGGGAGGCTGAGGCAGGAGGCTCATTGTGAGTTTGAGACCAGCCTGGACTACAAAGTGAGCTTAAGGCCAGCCTGAACTACACAACCAGACCCTGCCTCAAAAAGACCATAAAAAAAAAAAAAAAGTCAGCTGGGCACAGTGGTACATATCTATAATCCCAGCAGTCGAGAGGCTGAAACAGGAGGATCACCGTGAGTTTAAACTCAGCCTAAACCACATAGTGAGACCCTGTCTCAAAAAAAGAGACAATCAGATGGATGTATTTTTCCTTCAAGTCCTTGGAAACCACTCATTTCCTGGGAACTGAGTGGAGTAAGCCTTATCACTGTATCACTAGGATCTGAAGTAAAAACAACCACTTGAACACCCTCAAGAGGATGGGAAATACCAGGTAGGGTGCCAGCACCCTCTTTCCCCAGGGTGATGTTTGGGAAGCCCTATTGCTATGAAGATCCATAGTTCTCTTGGCCCAGAACGAGACCCACAAGCAAAGGAGACGTAAAGCCCTTGGAGGCCAAGCCCAGGGAAAATGATTTCTTTGACACCCAAGCAGTATCAGGGTCACAGACCTCCTAAGGAATGGCTTATAAATAAAAACACATCCAAAAGAGAAAAATACCTAGCAGGGAAGCAAGTGACAGAAGCATCGCTGACTCCTTTCAGGGAAGACAGGACAGTGCTCAGGTCCTGGGTGTGTCTGACGCTGAGCTCCACTCGGTGGGTCCCCTCTGTAGGGTGGCTGGGGGCTCTGGAGGGATGGATCGGCCTGGACACACAAGCACCTGGGGAAATCGGAGTTGTTCTTGGGTTTCTGTTTTAAAATGTAAAAATAAAAGACTACGACAGACAAAATTTATAATAAGCACTTTTAAAAAATCATTTCCATTTTTCATATAATACAGATACACGTACATACCCCTTATAAACATCACCAGTCCCCATAACGTAGGGACTTAGTACAAACGAAATCAAATTTATTAGAATTTAAATTAACCTAAATGTTTTAAAAAGTCAAATTCATTTCCCAGAAGACTTGTGTTTTTTTAGATGACATATGGAATTGCCTACTGCTTACTAAACCTACCCATGTAAATTATGGTTCAAAATCTGAATGCTGAGCCTGGCATAGTGACTCACGCCTACAGTCCCAGCACAGGCTGAGACAGGAGGGTACCAGGGATTTGAGGTCAGCCTGAGATACAGAGCAAGACCCTGTCTCAAACACAAAAGATGCAAATGCTCCTAACTGTGATCACAGTAGGAGGATCACATCATCATAAAAGCTTTAGCTCAAAATGAGTGCGAGGATGACTGTGAACTCCCTCACTATGTGCGGCATGGGAAGCATCCAATAAAGGCCTAACGTCTATTTAATCAACATACCAGCTACAGCTTGGGGGCTGAGCTTTGACCCAGTCAAGCATTTTTTGAGAGCAGGGCACTCCGTCACAAGAGTGAGAATCACACAACTCAGTCTAACAATGAACGCTTATCTTCTCATTCATTAATAAGAACGTTTCCTCTTTCAAATGCAAGTCAGTTGCCGGATTTCACCATTATTACTTTTTTTTTTTTTTTTTTTGGTTTTTTTTCCAGTACCGGGAATCGAACTCACGACCTTGCGCTTGCCAGGCAGGCGCTGTGCCGCTGAGCTAAATCCCCAGCCCCTCAACATTATTTTTAAATATATAAAAATACAGTCACCTGGTGTGGTGGCGCACGCCTGTAATCCCAGCACTCAGGAGGCTGAGGCAGGAAGATGACCGTGAGTTAGAGGCCAGCCTGTGCTACACTGCAAGACCCTGTCTAAAAAATCCAAAACAAACGAAGAAAAGTACCAGTTTCACCCTCGAAACAGTCAAAACTTACTGGAAAGACACTAAAGTCTCACCGAGCCCCTTGGCCAGCCAGGCGTTGACGCCCCGGGGTGCAGCGTCCAGGGCCGTGTGCGGGGAGTAGATGGCGACCCTGCCCTCCAGCGCGCGGACCACCAGGCGCTCCTTCCAGGTGGCGCAGGTGACGCTGGCGAGCGGCCGGAAGATGGGCGGGTGGTAGGCGAGCACCAGGTCGGCGCGCGCCCGCAGGGCCTCCTGCAGCGCGGCCTCCGTCAGGTCGACCGTCAGGAAGAGCGTGCGCACCGCGTGCGGCGGGCTCGGCTCCACCAGCAGCCCCACGTTGTCCCAGCTCTCCGCGAAGGACAGGGGCGCGAGGTCCTTCAGGCGGGCGAGCACGGCCTGCAAATCCATGCCGGCGGGGGAGCGCCAGGCCCGCGGGCGGGAGAGCCGGACCGCTGTACGCAGCAGGCGCCCGCGAGACGCCAGCATGCGGAACCCAGCCCAGCGCGCGCCCGGGGCCGAACACCGGAAGCGGAGCTACGTCACTTCCGCCTGCGCCTCCACGCGTCACCCCGCGCGGCGGGCACACCATGACCCCGAAGATAAACGGCAAGGCGTGCTCCTCGGCACACCGGCATCCGCGCTTGCCCGCGCGCCGCCAGGGAGAGCCCGCCGCTCACCAGGCCGTCGCTCTCGCAGGGCGCTCCAGGGCGGGGAGACCAGCGCGCCGAGCGGAAGTGCCCCGCGGGCCGAGCGGAAGGAGACTGGGCCGGTCCGTCCCG